GGAGATGACGCCAAGAAGACAGCCATGGTGATGGTTAGGAGGTCGACAATCGAGGAGGAGGAGAGGGAGGGGTGACGAGGAGAAAGTTGGAGGAGAAAAGAACGAAGGAAGAGGAGGGAAGAGGAGTAGGGAGGACAAGGACTATGACAATGAGGGACGAGGATAGAGGATGGAGGCTGGCGGAAGAGGGAGGAGGATGATGAGCATGGATGGAGGAGGAGGGAGGGGGGAGATGTGCATGGACAAACACACGCGCGCACGCTCACCTTCACATAGCAGGCGTATGCACTCCAACGAAGCTTCCCCGACGCGGCGAACTCGAAGACTGACTGCTGCACCAATTTTTCCGTGGCGGTGCGTGAAATACCTACCACTTCGAATTCGAATTCCTGCCGCGACTGCTGCAAGGGCATCAAAGAAAGATGTGTGCCCCTTGTGACTCGTGAGGGCATTTCGAGGACGGACCGAGGAAACGCCACCAGCGGTCCAGTAAGGGCATATCGGAAAGTTATGCCCCATGCTGACAGGGGCCTGCAGAAAATTTCAGAGGCCCGAGGAGCACAACAGGGTAAGTCGGCCTTCACAGGGGCCCGCCACAAATAAATGCAAGCTTCAGGGGCATTTCGAAAATCCCCCCCCCCAAAAAAAAACTCTACTATGCAAGCTTAGGGCAAATCGATGACCTCAATGCCACAGTTTTTTTTTTCTTGCATCCCTGAGAATAAGGACGCTCTCGGTGTCACAACAGGGTTTTGAATGCGTGCGCAAAAAAAACATGCGCAGGCAAAGAAAACAGTGGCCGAGTTGTCCTTCGGAACATCCGTTAGAATTGGAACCATACAGAAAATATTAGCATGGCCCCTGCACAAGGATGACACACATAAATCGAGAGAAATGGGACGAAAACAGCTGCCGAGTGCGAAATAGCAATGGAAATACCGCGGCTGCGACAGTGGCACAGGTGTCATAACTACTACAGGGGCGGACCGTGGTGCCAGACGTGAAAGGCGGGGGGGGGGGAAGATTGGCCAACGGATCTATTTCAATCGAAATTGCCGTTTCAAACTCGTGGCTTGATATCTTTGCCGGCACGTGTTTTTTTTTTCTTTTGCCTTTGCAAAGTTGCAAACTCAAAACCTGCCGCGTTCGTACTTTCTTCAAGAACCAAAGATTCTGAAGAAAAAAAACGGAAAAAAAAGTTCTCTTGTTGATGTATCGTATGATTTGGATCGAACCGTAGTAACAACAGATGCGGACGAAAGAGCCATCATGATAGGACTATGCATACTAGCATACTAGGTCTATGCCTGCGGTTCGTTTGCTTGGAGTTTATAATCTGTTGGCTGATATCACTTTTAAAATGACTTGATCAATTAATTAGCCCTTAATACCCCCCTTATCCCAGAGCCTGGAGTGTCCATATTCAGAGCACCAGGCTCTTTGTTTTTTTTTGTTTTTTTTTTGGAGCATTAAATTTTCTTGATGACATTTTTTTCTTTGTTTTTGGTTCATTTCTCGATTTATGCCTGCCCTCCATGAGGGGGAGGGGCCAATTACTGAACGCTATGATTACTGGTGAAAAAATGCTTCCTTCAACAACTTGCTACCCCTGATTGTGTCAGGGACAAGGATTCAACGAAGTGTCAACGATTAATATCTAACCATCCTCGAATGATCCTCCTGTCGGTGAGCTTGCTGGTTGATTTTCGGTTATGTTATTTTTGTTTCCATGAGCGACCGTGGTCATGGCTTGCTCATCCTTCTGCTTGCTAGTGATAGCGCCGTCATCAAAGTGAACTCACTCAATTTTAATGTTCTTCTTTGGAGTCTGTTCAATGACATCTGTTTCAAGTGAAATACTAGAGTCTCTTAGACGATCTATAGTGTCGCTTCGGGGTAACTGTTGCATGAATCAGCACATTACTAGGATGGATGGCACATTACCGTGTGACGTTCTATCAATGAATTTTTGATGCAATTAAAGTTATTGAACTGTTTGGAGTCCAATCCTTGTCAGTTGCAGTTTCAATTTCTGCGCGGTTGTATTTGAGCTCCAGGGCTGCCTCGTGTTCAGAGGCCCTCGCAAAAATCGGGAAGTCGAATCCGAGCTTGTTGTGGTCGGTCAGTTGCTTGGCTGGCAGTTGCTTGGCCCACGACTTTGCATCGCGTCATTTTAGATGTAGACGGTTAACAGTTTCTGACAATTCTGGCTGTCCTATTGGTGGTGCTTCTTTGTTCATCTTTGTGCATATTAAATATTTCATAATAGCCTGAGGGCCGCAGCTTGCACGGAGCATGGGGAGAAATTGCACAACGTATCTGCCCGTGCATTTTTGGGCGCCCAACAAGGGTAAGTGGGTCCGTCTCTCTCTCTCTCTCTCTCTCTCTCTCTTTCTCTCTCTCTCTCTCTCTCTCTCTCTCTCTCTCTCTCTCTCTCTCTCTCTCTGTGTGTGTGTGTGTGTGTTA